GGGCGGGGGGAATGGGGGAATATTAGAACATTCAAAACTCCTACCTGAACTGTTCTCCTTAGTTCTTTAAGTTCTTCGCAAAGTCTTCTGTTTTCTTGTTTCAAATTTTCAAGCTCCTGAAAAGTGTCATGAACGAAGACGATTACAAAATTGTTACTCTTTAGGTGCATTAAATGCCCACAGTTTTGCTGCATGTGGTCAATATCTAAAGAAAGCAGGCCATCAAAGACCAGATGAAGCTGGTCCTGTCAATACTTTAGTGACCTGATCATGTTAATACTTCAGTAACCTGACTTCATCAAAGTCAGGTTAAAAGCCCCGTAATAGTGAACAATCACAGGATAGCACCGACTAACGCAGACGCATTGCAAAGACGTTATTGAAATTCGTTACATTTTAAATCAAATGACACATGCCCTGTTTAAGGGCAAATTATGTTCAAGTTCTCGAGCAAGATTAATCTTATTCCAGGATACAAAAGTTCATGTTAAAGGATCGTCTTTGTACTGCAGGTGAGTAATATGGCTTTATTACTGTAGTTTCGTACATTATGCAACATTTTATGACGTTTAGGATAACTTATCTCTTTAAGCAGAACAGGAATCTTTATCTATCGACAGTTAATAAATTATGATTTACTTTTGCTATGTTCTCTGGTATGGGTGAGTTGACTTCATTAATTCCCCCTGGAATGCGTGTTATATGCTGTATGGGTTTGATCACTGAGCACGGTGTGTCACCAACATCTGATTGCTCTGGTCCGTCAGCCTTTTAAAGCAAGGTATAGCGGCATTACTTTACGGTTGTCTTATTTTGGTCACTTCCTGAATAATTTCTTAATTCTTTGATAGCCATTATATGATCGTCTCGCAAGGCCTACACATTGCATAATAACGAAATTACTTAATGCTGAGAAGAGGGTGAAGACTAAACGATGGTTCACAGGACGACATAGGTATGGCCACAGCGGAGCGTTAGTGTTCAGTATAAGTATCAAAGAACAGACGTTTCCATAACCATGAGCGTGTAATGAGGGCGCAGCAACACTGGTGAGATAAGAGTAATGCGAGCATGACTGAAATTTAGAAATTTTACAAGAAAATGATGTCTGAGTTATTCTTTAGTATCTTTAGTTTAAATATTGTCTTTACTGCTAGTTCTGTAGTGACAGCGATCACTAGCTGAATTCTTCAGATAAATTTTTAAAGTTTTTGTTAACCCCTATATGTATTAAAGTTTACTTTGATGTTCTTTTTATCAATGGCACCTAGCAGCCAAACATTACCAACACATTACCTGTTCAAAGTAATGACCCAGATTGTTCAATTCATCACGCGGGGTAGCCATTCCCGACGACACGTGACTTTCAAGGTCACATGACCCAAGAACACTTTCCACCTCTGATGAAGTCAAACCAAAATCCTGTACTAATAGCAGTCGAACCTAGACAAAATTATTTTTCTTGGTTTTACAAACAGTTGATTTTCATCGATTTAAGTTCAAGTACTGAGGTTACTTCTTGTTACCTTTCGGTTGTTTATTTTTTTTATCTTTAGCACATAATGTCTTTATCTTTGGCACCAAATTTCTAATAAAAGTACTAAGCTTACACTCAACACTTGTAAGTTACAAAAATGTTTAGAAAGCATCGTTGTTGGATGGAAACTTCAATATGGCGGACAGGTCCTCAAAAAGGGATCAAATGAAAGGGCAAAATAATTGACTGCCACAAGTTTGCATTCATCCCTTCAGAACTTGGTTTGAAAGAAATTTACTCTGGACCACACCTTTCCAAGTTGTTCAGAGGGATCCATATCTGAAGAAACGTCTCGGTCGTTTTTCTACAAAACAAAATAGAGAAAGTAGGAAAAAGAACAGGCTTTGCAGAATGGAAAGATTAAAAGTGTTTCTACCCCAGCATATTACACATCTGTTCTTTGGCTGGTGAAAAGAACGTGAGGGTGGTTTCTATGTGCGATGTCTTAAAAATGCAGATTCTGTTCCACATCAAAAGTATCCCAGCTCTATCTCTTTCTAAAACTCTACAAATACTGCAAAGGTTAAATGTTTCTGTGATTCGGCCCTGTAACACCAGGAAAAGTGTGTAATATTGTTATTTGTGCTTCATTTAGTCTTACTTGAAATACAATCAGATTGCAGACCCTACCTTCTCCGACTGCAAAATATCTATTCTTGCTTTCAATGCTGTATTGGATTCGTTCAGTGCTGCAATTGTCTAAGTAAAATGACAAAATTAAAAATCGACATTCAGTCACTGTTAGATATCATTAAATGCAAACAAATTGTGCTTTACGAGAAGAAAAATGAAGGTGAGTTAGACTTAACACTGCCTCAGATTTAATTAGTCTGGATCTTGTGTCTCGTTAGAACTTGCATTCTACTTTCATTGTTTCAACTGCTGAGGCTCTACGAGTTTGCACACTTTCTTTGCTGAAAGAGATTTTATCCAATCTACAAAGAACATGTTAACCCTTTAACTTCCGACATCGCATCAGCAATTGTCCTTACAGTCTGCCATTCCAATTCTTATAATGGTAGTTTGAAGAATTTGGTATTGGATTAACTAGTAATCCCCTAGTTTACATTTTTGTTTTTTCTCATCTCTTGTCTGCTTGATAATGTACAGATATTATAAGGAGAAATTCTGTCTTGGTCATTCCTGGGAGTTAAAGGGTTAACTTTAACATGATTTAATCACTAGAAAGGTGAGGTGGATGCGCCGGGCTCATAATGACTAATGGTATTCTGCTGTTTCCATTTATATGTTTCCATATATCTACCGTAAGCCGAAATGTTCGTGAAAAAAATTAAAGGTTTCGATATACTTTGCATCTTAACATGACATAAGCAGGCTTACAGTAAAAAGAAGACATGAACATTCACCAAAATGTTAACCGCTAAATATCAAAGCTATGTGATTGAAGAGCTTCAACTGAAAGCACCACGAATTTTAATTGAAAACAATTCATTATCAAAGTATCGCGTGATTTTACCTTATCTGCTTCCTTCAGCTGTTCTATCTTTTTCTGAAGAGTCTCGAATTCCTCCTCAGACAAGCCCTTAGCCTACAAAATGAAAACAAAACCGCGTGTTTTAAAATTCGTTATTTAAAGGATAATACATTAAAAAGAACCACGATAGAGTTCATCTGTGACGTTTACGATAAAGGAAAATGTCAAAAACTAAGTGTTGTTCATTGATTTTGTCCCCCCAACCCCTCTTCTTATTCTTAAGGTGGCTGGGTATAGTTTTCTTAAGCTTCTACCAGCTATATTTTATATCAGAATTCCTCTTTGCAGATGACCGAGTTTTACAAGAAAAATGCAAGGCCAATGTAAACGGCTGAAAGTGATAGGGTTTGCAATAACCTCTCCATTATTTTACCCAAACTTCACTTCACTACTAGAAGTTATTTCGTACGAGATATTTTGAAATTGAACCCCTGACATTCGTCTTAAGTCAATTTCCATTAAAAGTATCTTGACAAGTTTTTTTTAAAAATCAAATTATATATCTCCCATCAGAATACTGTCCCATTAAAATTTGGTCTAAATGAAAATTACATTCCAGGCCCCTGTTCCGAGTAAAATTGGAAGAGAGGTAACTTCACATTTGAATCTGATAAAAAACATTCGGTAACCAACACAAATATTCAGAAGAACTCAGTTCTCGCTTAACTCTTCAATGGATTGTCTCCTCTTTTGAAAAGGGTTGATGGGGGACATGAGGTAGAAAAGATATGCAACCACATATATAGAGATAACAGACCGACATAAAGATCGGTTGCAACTCAAACTAACACACCTTTGTACTGTACAGGCTTTCAATCCTTTCTCTCAGCAAAATGTTTTCGTCTTCAAGTGTTTTCATGTTCTTGGAAAGGAAATAAAAAATCATCGATATTTGAGAGAAAAAGTTACTATGAACTAAGAAATGTGCGCAAAACCAACATCAAGGTTGAAAAGAATTATTCTGTTGGGGTGAATTAGTTAAGTCAGTAAAGCAGTCATATTTGACGATCTGGTTACGAACTCAGAAATCTGAGGATATACTCAAAAGAAAACTATAAGAAAGTTCCCGTGACTCACAGAAGTCGTGTCTTCCAGAATTTTGATATTTTCTTTTAACACTGAATTTTCCTCTTCGAGTCTTTCAACAACCTGAAAGATCAAAGCAATATCACAGTCAATGTAGCACACTTGACACTTTTGTAACTTGACGACACTTTACTTAATTACTTAAATCCTGTCACAGCGGATACGAACTCTCCGTGACAATTTTCCATTCTCAATTAGCGATATCGCAACAACGTCGACATAAACCACAAAAAGAAGATCGTTATAAATTTAATTATCAGTTGGCTCCTGGCCACAGTCGCGATAACAATAGAATTTTGTGTGTCATATTCTAGTCACCATCCCTTCAAAACTCTCCTGAAAGCACCAGTTTTCTTCTCTAATAGCCCCACCTCACTAGTGAAGCGTTCCCCACCTGTACTTACCCTTCCCGTAGAATGTTCCAGATCCTGTATCTTGTCCATGAGTTGCTCGTTTTCCAGTCGTTCTGAAGTCTGAGAATAAATAAGAATGCATTTATTGTATTTATGCTCGAGAGACGCAGGGACGATTCGCTTCAAGGAATTCTATGAAGCTGGAAACTCATTTACAATAACCAGAGACTCTTCCAACATCTGTACTTTTTCTGAGAGCTCTTCATTTTAATAATTTTCTTCTTTTTCTCTCTCTTTCCAATTTCCTCCGTTACTTCGAACTGCCCTTTCAAAGCAGCATCTTTACTTCGAACATATGCAATATTCTGAAATTAACAAAAGTCGAAAGTCAAAAAGCGACAGGAGGTAGAAATTATTTTTCTGTTCGTGAGCCACAGCTGCAGCGATGAAGAGATTAAGCAGCAAAGAAAACTGTGTTAGTCTTTATTACTTGGACTTTAATTTTTCTGTTGTTATTCAAACTGTTTTTTTTCTTTCAGTGTGTGAACTGTAGCCGACATCAAACTATGATACTGACTGAAGCATCTTCCAAGAACTGTAATTTATCCTTGAGCATTTTGTTTTCATCTTTCAGCTTGTGTAGTTTCTGAAACAGAAAAGGTTGATAACAATAAGACTTTTGTCGAAAAAGAAAACGGCTCTTTTTACTTCTCAACTTCATAATGTTTTTGTATGTAGTGTAAATAATTAGTAATCAATCTAAGAGTATCGTGCACTTACTGCCTTTGCAGAAATCTACGAATCGTTATGTACCCAGACAAACCAACCAGTTCATAGAATGACTCGTTATTAAAACAATTTTTTTGCCCCACTGAAAAAGGGTTCCTACCTTGCTTATCCATAACGTGAACAATTACACTAAAAATAAAAAATTGCATACATCATTTTGTTCCAGGTCCTCGATCTGCTCTTTTAACAATGTGTTTTCACAGACCACATCATCCTAAAAACATGAAAGATGGTCAATTCAAAGAGTGCAAGCGAGTCACACGGACATTCAACTTCTTCACTGCCACTCCTATGGACACACAAGGCGACTGTCAAGTCGCCATGACACGTCGGACGTATAGGTCGCGAACTGTTGGGAAACCAGTCCTTGATAATCTGCAATATCAGAAATCACTTACTGCGGATGCCTTGAGAGCCTCGATTTTTTCGTTGAGAGTTTCGTTCTCCCCCTCAAGTTCTTTCACTCTCTGAAATAAATTAAAGGTAAGTAAGTGGAAACAGACAGGCTGCTGCATTACATTCACAAACTCAGTATTGAAGAACTCTAGTTATTTTTTCCACCCCAGGTCGCCTCGATTTCCTCACTCGACTATATCTACAAGCCAAGAAAGCATAGAAAGATCGCTCTTTCACCTCGGGTTCAGCTGATAGCATTTCTACTTGTTGCTTTAGATAATCATTCTCCCTTTGAAGCTCTTCAGTACCCTGGAAAAATATCAAAGGGCAAATTTCTATGATTAAAATATTTACTTCTACATTCCACTGACGGTCAGGATAACTACATCTTAATTTTTGCCGAAGATTCAGACAACTGACCCTAACAACAGATTGGTCGACAGCAATTCTCTTATTGTCTGGTGTCTTACGTCTAATGTCTCGATGTTATGTCTATAATAGTCTACATGTGGATCTTCAAAACTGAAAAGTTTGAAAAATTAAGTGGAAGCCTCTTTTCCAGGAATCCTAAATAATGGATTGTGTCCTGGCGACATACGTGTTAACACAAGACCAAAATTGAAGCTCTTTTCTTACCATAGTTTGTTCAAGAGTTTTTATCTTTTCCCTTAGCTCTTCATTTTCTTCTTTGGTGTTCTTTATCTCTGCATCTGAAATCTAAGCAATTCTAAAATTAACTAGGGACCACTTAACGTTATCGACTCCAAGTGAACAAGAAATATTCATAATGAGAGTTTGAAATAAAATGTTACCATGGAAGCTTCTTCAAGAGCTTTGACTTGTTCCCTGAGTTTGTCGTTCTCCTTCTCTACATCCTTCACATCCTAACGGTGAAAGAGACAGCATCAATTAGCTTCATATGTGAACGTAACCATGACATCTTGCCCCAAGCATACTCACTGCTAATTCCTCAAGAATTTTCATTTTCTCTTTGATCAATGCATTTTCCTCTTCTCTATCTTCCAAGGACTACGACAAAATAAACAAAAGCAGGTAATAAATTATAAATATCTATCAATGCCGTTATTATTATTAAGATCGTGATGTCGATGATAGTCACCGCCGAAGTAGAGGTGCTAGCCAACGACACTGAGGTCAATAGTTGTTTTAGTATATAATTAACCAGTGAGATAATATTAGACAAAAGATGATCTTAACTCATTTATTCCTACAACTATTACAATATATTCGGGCGCAATTTTCGGGCGCAAATCCCGCGCGAGTTGCTCAGGGGTGAAAAGAAAAGAATAGTCGACATTTGAGAAGCCAACCAGAGCTCGCTTACGAGGCTATCCACTGATTTAGTACATACAGATGATTGTTATCGCTTTAATCAACAATTAATATTATCATTAAGATCTTTGTCTTTATCAAAATACTACTTTCATCGTAATCATCACCACCATTATCGTCAACATGTTTATCATCATTACTGTCATTCTTATTATAATTATCATGTCACTACTGTTGAGATAAAGACAATTGAAGACGATGAGAAAAATAAGAAATGCCTTGGAAATTAAAAAAAATTGTTTAAAAATGCTTCTTTGACTGACGAGGTCTATTTCTCCAAGTATTTTACCAACTGGAGGCGCAAGTTGTCGTCACATTAAGGTTTTCTCAAGAAAGACGGAGCACAGCTACTGGTTGATTTAAGAAATAACCTCAACGTTACTTTCTGTGTATTTACCTGGACTTTCTCCTTCAAGAGGGCGCTCTTTTTTTCAAGTTCCTCTGTCTTCTGCAACATAATAAATTTTTACCATAAGAGTCAAACCAAACAACAAAGAACAGTCCCAAGATCTGTCAGACCTTGATACGATAAGCAATGTAAACTGTAAAGGATAAGATTAACTAACAACAAAGTTGGTTTCCTTTTTAACCAACTATACCACGCTCAAAGTTTACAGTGCCTTAGTCTAAAGGTTTTAATTAACCGTGCTATAGTTGGTTTAGAGGCATGTGTTTGTCTCATACTCGTGTTATTTATGTATGTCGTTGAGTGGCAAACCTAATATTTTCAGTAGAGAAATAATCAAGACATTCTATAGACCATTTAATGACTAGCAGAGTAACTGAACGCGTAAAAGTGTGACCTAAAGTTGATTCCTGTACCTCTTTCAGTTTCTCCCAGAGATTCCTGTTTTCTTCCTCGAGGTCTTCAGTACCCTGTTGGAGCAATGTTTTTAAATGATGCCTTCATTTACCTCCCTAAATAGGCATCTCAGGTCCATGTATGAAAACATTTCGTTATAGTGGTTATACATTGATCAATAAACCGACTGACTACCAAATTAACTGACTTTCTGAATACCTATCAAACTGCAGAATGACAAACGGACCAAACAAGTGACAGATTAATTGTCAGGGCTGACTGACTTACTGACGAACCGACCAACAGAACGGAAACACTGACTGACTGAAAGAATAAATGAATGGATAATGTACAAAAAAATTGAATGAATGAACAGAAAAAATAAACGAACGAACAAACAAACAAATAGAATGAACGAATAAACGAATGAATAACTATTTGATTGACTGACTCACCTTTCCGCTTTCCAAAATTAACAGATGTTTTCTGAGAAGTTCGTTTTCTTCTTCTAGTTCTTTTAAGCTCTGCAAATTTAAACACATCTACAAATGTCAAACTATTGCAACAAGAAAAAAAGCAGTGGATTCCAACATGTCATAAAGGATTTCCCACTGTTTCAAATCAACACTCCATAGATCAGGATTGACCCAACCATCGGGACCGAGAGCTTACTTGTGATGATTCAGCTATAACGGTTATAAGGGTTCTCTGTTGAAGAAATTTACTCCAAAGTATTTCATTAAAAATAAAAGTGTTCCTCTTGTCCTCAAGCAAATCCAATATTTTTGGTGAAAAAGCAACTTGCCAATAATTGAACCCCATTTTCGAAAACAAATCTGACATATTTAACAATTATTCCTTGTTTAAACTGTCCACCATTAATTACCAGAGTATTACAAACAGTCGCGTCCAGAAAGCAAAATCGAGAGATTCTAGCTAATTAGTATGTAGAATGAGATTTTGTGCTTTGATTCACAACTTCAAAATATAACTTTATGGTCTTTAACGCCATTTTCCCTCACAATCCAGGTTTTCCGGCGTAAATTTACGGGAGCATATTTGGGAAATGGTACATGGTTAAATTTTGTAAGAAACTTCTGGCGTACTTTTGAAATTGCGGTGCGAGTATTTCCATGTTAAGTTCGTACCAAGAATAAAATTGGACTCGTGTAAGAGCATAATCGAAGTTTTTCCATCATAGGAGCGTCACAGTTGTTCGTACAGCTGAAAACAAATGATCGCTAAAACTTCGCTGAAAGAAAGATACTGTTGATTCACAAACAAATACGACCGTGAAAACAAGGATTATCAAGTAATATTTGTATACTATGTGATACCAGTGAGAACAATAATCAAAAAGCCAACCTTGATGTCTCCTGTATCCTCTATATCGCTGTCATCTATTCCTTGCCTTATGGCCATCAGATTCAGTAACTCTGAATCCTTTCTTTCCTTCAAAAACTTGTCAAACCGGTTCACAGCACTACTGTCAGGAGGCATGTCCGTCAACACGTCTCTGCCTTCGCCATCCTGGGTGGAATTAATTGCTTCGTCTGTTTGGTTGAAAACGCTGTCACTTCCATTTTGAGATGATAACAAAGGGTTATCCGCTGTGGAAAAATATTGCAACAATCACACCCAAGAAAAAAAATTATCCGTAGGACTAAGGCTATTAAAATATCCAAGCCTTCAAACATAAGCAATTTCTATACGTTTGCTCTCATGCAGGATAGAGATGGTCAAACGAGAAGAGCTGAGTCTGACCTATAATTACGACGTGATTCCACCCATGATCACGAAAACAGTGCACCTTTTGCAGGTCTTGCCAGTTTTTATGAAAATTGCATACGCTCGGCTCAGGCAGTGTAGAAGAGAACCGGAAAACACATAGGCCTGGTTTACAAGCACGAAAATCAACAAAAAGGAAAGCAAACAAACAAACGAAAAAGTTGAATAGCCATACGCATTGGGATTTCAAGGATGACATTCATGTTTCACCACCAGGTACAAACAACATTGTTGCTGCATGATGCTTTCATATCGTATCCGTTTGCCAACGTTTGTACCCAAATTGGTGAGACAAAAAGGTAACGAGGCCAAACCTGTAGTTGCACACGTTTGAGTGTACAGGTGTTTTTGGGGAATTTCTAACTAAACACTGATGAGGTAAAATACACAAAACACAGCCTGTTGAAACCTCATCTTGACTGACGACATATACCAAGTAAAATCCCGACAGAGGAGAGCCTTCTGCAAATAATAGAATAATAAAATAATCTCCTTTGCAGCCGATGTTCGGTCGGGGAGACAGCGCGTTGCGTGAGGAGATCAAACAACAGCTGCGAAGGAGACTGCAAGCAAGAAGGCTTTTTCACCCATCAAGACGTAGCCCTCTGTAACTATAACACTAGACGCACTGTGAGTTTAACGCAAAGTTATTAAAGAGGAAACGTCTGCGATTTACACACTGTATACCTTCGGGAAATTCTGACTGCTCGTCTTCTGCAAACTGGACTGGTGGCGGTGAGCTGATGGTGAAAGTGGCCTTTTCAGGAGGAGGTGGCAGTCGGGACAATTCTACCGCGAAACTGTTATTAGGTTCGGTAGCCACTTCATCTTGTACAGGATTGGAATCACTGCGATTCTTCACAACTACTTCCACTGGATTAAAGCCTAAGAAAAATTGGAGAACTCCGTATAACAAATTGGTTTACAGTGAAAAAGCAATTTAGACAAGACATCTCATTTGCAAAAAAGTGAAACTGAGAACTGGTATATGAAATAGAAGGTGTCGTTAGAACGGGACTCATATTATGTCCTTTGATAAGATCGGCCTGACTTTCAATACAAGTCAAGTTATCAAAGATTCTTAACCCCTAAACTCCCATGAGTGACCAAGACAGAATTTCTCCTTACAATATCAATACAATATCAACCAGATAAGTGATGAAAATTAAGAAAAATATCAATTTGGGGATAATTAGTTGATTCAATACTAAATTCTCTGAACTGACACGATAAGAATTGTATGGTTGACAGAAAGGAGAATTACAAATTTGATCTAGGTGTTAAAGGGTTAAATAGTAAGTCAAAATGTCTGAGACTTCTGGCTCTAACGCGCTTGATTTTGTCACGTCAATCTGATATTATTGTGTGCAAAGATGGTTTTTTATTTCTTCTTCATAATTCCTCCTTTGCCTTTCATTCCATATCATTTTTTGGTCCAAAGTATTGCGTAACTTTGAGAAATAACTTGAACGGTATTCGATGTATTTACATTTCTTACGTTTTTTTTTCGGAAATGGAGAGGTTACCTGTATCTTGCCGGGCCATGTTAATAGCAGACACGAACAATGGCATGTCCACATCACGTGGATGTATTCCTCTAAACCCTGACAACATGGCGTCGACATCCACAGGATCACATTGAACACCAATGTTTTTGAAAGAAGCACCTGAATGCAGTATATTTGTTTCACTGTTGGACGAGAAGCATTCATGTAAACCGTCAGAGACGTGTGCCATGTCGATGGGGATGTTAGACATTTGTGCCCTCTCTGGGACATGCTCGGGGGTCACTCCTGAGTTCGGAAGTTCGACTGCTGGAGGTGCATCTATCTCATCAGTTTGTCCCACTACAAGATGTATGGGATTGAAACCTGTCGGAAAATAATGTTCGAAAGCGAATAAGCGAGACAAATTGATTGCTTTGCAAGATTAAAATATTCTTGTCAAAAGCTTGACAATTCCATTCCAGACAGAATACGTTATGTATTCATATTTTCATTACAGGTTTAAACAAACGTGTTTATGGCTTTCGATATTTGAAATTTATACCCCTAAAATTCAAAAGCTACCTTGTGCAATAAAGTTAAGACAGTAGAACGCTGAAAGTGCATTTAGTGCTTTGATTAAGTTACTTAAAGCACATGCAGGCAGCAAGGACAGAAATATCGCTTAAATGAATGATTTCCTCTAACTAAGAAAAGCTTAAACCACTCGTGGCCCCAGGATGCGAGTCACAGTATTTTTATAAATGTACAGCACCTGTAACTATTTATTTAGTTAAGTAAAGATATGTCTATATTTATTCAATGGATTAGCTCTATATTTGGACTACCTCGATTTCTGTAGCAGCGATCAGCGTGTGTACAGTTATCTATTACTGTGTATGTTCATGAGTTCTTGTTATATATCCAAAAATCAAGGTTTTAGAAGGAACTTAGTATCATAAGCACTATCAGTAACCGCTGGCTTTTAATACGTAATCGCTGCAACGTTTATAAATAAACTCTTAAACTTGAAAGTAAAATCAGTGGCCATTACGGCAATTACACCCCTCTAAGCTTAACACACTAAGTTCATATTCACTTTTCAGACCGTTAACATCACACGCTTATTTCAAAATTATCCTTTATCAAACAATGCCTGGCGTTTACTTTGCAATTTCACGTCTACTTTACAGTACTTGACGTCCAACAATACCATGACGTATCCTTGAATGTTAACTGTATTTTGTGTGACGTTCATCCATACCGGGAAGTTATTTACATGCACGTTAAAACCAAGGTAAATTCATGCGTGGGAAAATGATGTCATTTTTGTTAGAAAGGTATTTACGTAATAAGTTGGATCACTTTAAACATGCTGATCTTTGATTGTGGCAGATCAGTATTGCCCTGCTACCGGGCCATGCTCCTTCCATGAAAAGTCAGTAGAATCAGCTGCATGCATGAACTTGAATGGGTACACAAACAGAACACAAACCTCCTGGTTGTCTCATCTTTAAGGCTGTCACAAACCACGAAGGAACATCCACCCCTTTCTCTTCTGCTTCCTTGTTAAGCTCCTCCAAAAGCGAACTTAAATCCTCCAGGGTACATTGTACACCAAAATCAGTCTGTTCTCGACGTGAGTGAATTAAACCAACACCATCACAGGTGTCATATATCCCAAACTGTTGCAAATCAGAAAATGTTAGCTCGGTCATGACACAAGCATCTCGACACTGATTCTCCTCGATATCTACGTCTTCGTCCTCGTCCATGATAAATTCAGGCTCGTCCAAAACAGGTAGATAATCTAACTCTGATTGCAAATTCACGAGTGTTTCAGCTTGGAAATTGTCATGAACAAATTCATGAAACGAAGGCGTAGCTCTCTTTTCAGACCCACTGCCCGCTTGATCTTCGAGATCTCGGATATCTGCTACTGTGAGTTCCGTTTCTGTACCCTTATCATCTTTCTCGACTTCACCATCACTTGAAAGTGCCATTGTACCATCAATATGGAACTCTCCCAACGTGTGAAGGTGGTCAATATCAGAATTTGTCAATTTTGTCATGACTTCTTTGTCCTCCTTGGGTGCAAGCATTCCTGATAGTTCACTACCATTGTCATTAATACTTTTCAAAAGATTTTCCGCTTCCTCTAAGTATTCCAAATCGGCAGTTGTGAGGTCCGTCATTACCCCTGCATCTTCTGAACTAGCGAGTTCTGCAGCCCCAAAAGAATCCTCTTTGCAAGAAAGTTCTACTTCTTCCAGGTACTGTAGTTCAGATGAGCTGTCCTCTTGTTCAATTCTAACCCAAGAGGGGTCTTTTTCCTGTGGTTGCTCCCGCTGTAGTCTCTCATACTCGTCCTCCATACACTCTATGGAGGCCAATGTCACACTTGTCATGATCTCTGCAGTCCTCTCGCTATTCATGTCCTCAGATCTTCTATCAAGCTCGTGATTATTGTAAGAACTTTCTACACCCATTAAATAATCCAAATCGTCAATCGCTAGTTCAGTCATGACCTCCTTCTCTTCCGTTTCTTGACGTATACTACTTTCGTCTTTCAAATATTTCAAATCTTCAGTTGTGATAACTGTCATAGACTCCTTCTCAACCTTCTCCACAGAATGTAACTTTCTAAAGTCGTCGTATTCCACCAACGTTTTCTTGTAAAGAACTTCTATATCTTCAAAATACTCGAGAATGTTGGCTGTCAACTCGGTCATGGTGTGCTTATTCTGCATATGAACAGACACTGAGGTAGACCTTGAACGCCGTCTCCACTTCGGTGCTTTACTTTCCTCGTTTTCAGTGGGAGCTGATTCCAGTTTTCCGCGAACTTGAAACTTCGTATGCGGAGGGTCACTCCTATGTTCTTTTCTGTCTATGTAAAACAAGCATTGCATGTGTGCAGAGTCAACATCCTCCAGACGTTGTAGATCCAAAACCGATAAGTCTGTCATAATATTTGCGTTTTCTTTCTTCACTGTGGCAGCTTCAAGCCCGTCGTGTTTATCAGCAAGGTATTCCTCCTGAGCTGCTTTAACATCTTCCAAGTAGTTCAAATCGGATGCAGTTAAGTCTGTCATTACTTCAACGCTTTCTTTGTCTACAATTCTGACGTGT